AATATGACAACTGAAAATGGACAAAAGTAATGGTACTAAATATAACACCACCATTTTGATCCGCAGAGGTGAATCCAACTCATTAGAAAAATATACTCATGTGCTTTTGAAATAAGATTTTGTACAGAATCTGAATGTTTCAAGGAAGGACATTAATATAAAAATAACGTTTTTTATATTACTTTTTATATAATTTTTATATATTATTAAATAAATATATATTAAATATTATTGATTTTAAATAGATAAAAAAAATTAATAATTTAAATGATACATAAAATTATATAAAAAATAAAAAATAACCTTAAATTATTTTCCTTTAAAGAATACTTTCTAATATACCTATCGTAGGAGGAAAGAGAAAGCAAAACAATATTCTCCTCAGAAGTCCAAAGAGAATTGACTATTGGCCAAAAAATATGGCGAAATTCGTAACAAAATGCTGTTAACAAGGATTGCAAGAATACAGACACATATTCAGTAATTAAGAAATGAAACGTATAGTTTTAAATTTTAAAAATGAATGTCAAAGAGTTGTCATTCGCCTTCGAAATGGCAATCAACACATTATATAGACTGTAATCAACGGCACAAGTATTATTTTGAAACTATGAATGATGCAGCTACAATCATAAGCTGTCCATCCAAAGGTGAATAATTCAAATGGTCAAATGGTTCACATCTCAAAGTTCCAAGCAGTCTCAGCACTTAATTTTGGGATTATGGATTCGCCTGCCAGGTTGAAGGATGCTAAGACCTGGAAGAAACAAAAATGCTCATATAGTCAGTAATCACCTCTCAGGAAGACCCTATAAAGTAATGACAAAAAGAAAAATATGGAATTAGAGGAACGAAATGATATGAAACAACTATACACCAAAACTTTTGAGAGTCAAAAGCAAATGCTTGTCAGTTCTGTTTATCCTTATGGGCATGGATCTAACCATGTTACATACCTGCAGCCCCACCTTCCCCTTGATGGTAGTAATAAATTTTCACACAACTGAACTGCTGTTCAGACATTGCACAACCATATGTTCTCTTTACCTATAAACCTACCTATGAGTCACTGCCCTAAAACTCATGCAACCTAACTTGATCTTTGACACCACAACCAAGTATAATTAAACTAAACCCACCAGTTCAGAAACACATCGGCTGCCATCATCTAAACATCACCACCTAAAACATCCCATCTGACCAACTCAATAATATCTAATGCTACAGATGCATGGACCAGTAACGCAATTTGCAAGTCGTGATAAATAGAATAAAATTCTCCACGTGGAAATCCATGGAGTTCAATTGAACTCTACCCATTTCCTCTTACAAACATACCTTTATGGAATTGGCTAAAAATAAAGGGCAAACAAAAGTATTCTACATCCACTGTCATCAATGGAAAACAGACAAACATCTGTCCAGGCCTCAGAATTTAAAACCTGAATTGACAATATACGCAGTCTAATCAACTCATTCTCTCTTTTTTCTTACTCCAATCCTATTTCAATAGCTAAATTTCGTTTCCAAGCCCAGAAATTTCAAAATGGCAAGCTCTAAACAAACTAATTAAAATCAAATTTCAAAGATCTTGCTCTTTTTATTTCTTTGACAGAGGAAAAACACAAATTTTCCACAAAAACAGCAGTTTCAGGTTCTCAGTCAGATCCCAACAATTCAAACATAAAGGATAAATGTGTATACGCATCAGTATCTTCAACCCACATACCAAAGTTCCAAACTTTAGCATGTTAATTCAGTCAAATTAGCAACCCAGTTCCAAGCGTGAATTGCAGATTGCCAACAATCGCCCAACCCACCCCCACAATAAGCCTAATCACCTAGAATTAGATGGCCCCAAGTCAACCAAACTATTTCTTTCACAACTCAATTCCATACGATATGACTACTTAAATAATAAAATCAGGACAAAAAAACAATAAATAAAGCAAAAATGATCTAGTTGGTATTTACCTTAAATGATCCATTCAACTTGGAATTCCTCGACCACTCCAAACCCAAATGCTTGTTCGATGTCTGGTACATAGCCTTAAAGACATCATCACCATAAACCCTCCTCGCAACCGAAAAATCCCAGGAATTCTTCCCAAAATCGTAACACGGCTCAAACGTTGTAGCCCCTCCGTGAGTATAACTGTACTTGACCTTGCAATTCCCGGTTCCTACCATGTAATTAGTCGATACCTTGTTAGCAGAATCGAACACGAGTGTGCCGTCCAGTGTCGTCCGATTCTCCCCTCGGCTGTGAATGTAAGTCACGTTCAACGGCTTCTCCGCAACCTTAATTGTGTTCATAAAGTGAAATCGGACATCCTTTTTGGGGACGTTGTAATCGATGATGAAGAAGCCAGGTTTTTCAACGGCTAGAGAGAGGCCGTTTAAGCTAGGGCCTTTGACGACGGTGGCGTCTGTTATGGTGGCGCTAAGCTTGACATCGCCCAGGCCGGCCGCTAGAGTGGCGGCACCGCTGAATCTAACGGGGTCATACCTGGCTTTCAGAGTGGTCTTCATTTCTGCGGGAAACTCGAGGGAGGGATAAGAGGAGAGTTTGGTGGAGATGCCGATTGCCGAGGCTTATAAATTGGATTATTATTATTGTGGTTCCTATGACGTGTCCTGTATCCAAAAAAAAAAAAATTGGTGCATCGTTGTCTCAAGTCTTCACATTTGACCAATGCCTCCATGGGCTTGGGGCCTTGTGTCGTGTCCGTTCGGCGCCTCTTCCTGAGGATAAGTCTTTCGGTTAGCGTACTTGGGCTCGAATGGTCTCATTCTCAGACTCTGAGCTCGTTTAGTTGAAAAAATGACATTGCGAGTAAATGAATTATTTAATGGCTTTTTCTCATCTGAGTGCTTTTACGTTAACAAACATTTATTATATTTTTCTATTAATTATTTTTAATCAAAATAATTGTTTTTTTAATTAAAGATTTAAAAATAATATTTATATTTATTTATAATACTTTTAAAAAATAAAAAGTAAACAAAATTTGTGATTTGATGATTAATTAAAATAAATAAATAATGATAGAATTAAAGTAAAAAAAATATTTGTTTATTTTGAAATATATTAAAATATTAATTAATTTGCGATAAATTTAAAATAAATAAATAATAGTTTTTTTTTTTTGAACAAGTTGTCAAGAGGGAAGTTCGAATCCCGTTTATGAAAGAAGGAGAATGTACCTCAAACTGACAGATTACCAGTTGATCCGAAAGATCAGATGCAACAAATAATAGTTATTTTGATATGAAGGTAGTGCTAATTTGTATAAAAAAATGATGATGATAAATTTTATTTTTAACATGAAACCATATGAAACTATTTAATTAGAAGATTGACAAAATTAAAATCAATTTTTATTTTTTATGCAAATTAATGATAAAAAGTACAATAAATAAAAACCTTAACATATATCTTTGTGAACATGTTAGAAAATTTCTTAATTAATTATAATAATATTCTTAAGAGACTTAGTGAACATTCGAATGATTAAGAATTTAACCACAAATCTTAGAAATGGTAAGAAGGGGTTTGAGAAGAATCAGATTATAACCAATCATTTGACATGTGAGAAAAAAAGTGTTATTCGTGGATTTTGTTTGTACTAGTTGTTAGGGAATAGTTGCAAATCATTGTTGATATGCAACTATTAATAGTTATTATTGTTTATACAATTAAAAATTTTTTATTTGTCATGTTAGAAAAACAACTACCAATTGTTTTTTAATAATTAGGCCAAATAAAACCTTAATTAATGTGTATAACTAACAAACAATATAATAAATACTATTGGAGAGACAAATGAAGAAGAATCAAACATAAAAAAAGATTTTTTTTTTATAAATAAATTGTTAGATATTAATTCAGTAAAATCTTTACCACAACAGTTGGGGAATAGAGTTGCCATACTTTCTGAGTTATCTGCTAAACAGAGAGGAATGCTTCCTGCTTAGCATGGGAGAAGGGGACATAAAAATGGTAACAGGCGAAACAGACCCACTCCTAGTTTTAGCTACGCAAAAGTTGCAAGCAAAAGAGTCTGCTAACAACGTTGTCAAAACTCCAAAGAATGGGTTCGTGAGATGGCCCATGTGTTCAGGGAGGTAAATACATTCGAGGGCTTGCACTTCGTTCAAGTTTAAAGAGTTTTGAGATCAAGTCAGTTTAAGCCTCAATTCGATCTCTTTAAGTGTATGAAAGCTACGTACATCCCACGCATTTAGTGTTCAAAACAAACCGTATGTATCAAAAAAATTTTTTTTTCTTTTTCCTCAAATCATTCACTAATGATGTTGTGGTTTTTTTGGGTACCTGCTACGGATTTCTTTTAAAAATTTTTTTTTTAATCATTTAAAATAAAAAATAGTTGTTTTTTTTTTTTCTCAAAAATCAAGATAATAATGGGTCACCGGGCCAGAGCCCACAATAACCCTGCCCAATCATGGGGTTAGACCAAACCCGACTTGGGCCCATGAACAGACGCACTTATAAAAAGGCAAAAGCTTACTTTTAGTCCTTTACCTTATTATATTTGTAGATTTTACTTCTTCGCCTTATATTATGATACTTTTAACCCCTCACCTATTAAAATTAAAGAAAATAGCTTTCACTTATAATATTTTGTTAGTTTTATTAACTAATTGTTAATTTTATTAGTTGATTATTAATTAATTATTAATTGACAAAAATTTACGTTCAGCTAATAAAGTTAACAATCAGTTAACAAAACTATTTTATTAATTGACTGTTAATTTTATTAACTAATTGTTAACTAATAAAAACTTATTTTTAGTTAACAGAGTTAACAGTCAATTAATAAAGCTAATAAAATATTATAAAACGAGGATTATTTTTTTTAATTTTAATAGATGATGGGTTAAAAATGTTATAATAAAAAATAAAGGGTTAAAACTTATAAATCTAATAAAGTAAAGAGTCCAAACAGGTTTTACCAAAAAAAAAGTGGGTAAATGAAAATAACACATGCCCAAAGTCAAGAATTGGCGGTAAATTCAGAATTTCAATTTTTCTAGACTCACTCAACTAGCCCTAGCTCACTCTACCGCCACCCGTCGCCAAACTCCAACTTCATGAGCCGCTCCCGATTCTCACCGTCTCTACTCGGCAGAACACCGCCGGGCATTCTCAGGTGAGTTCATTCCCCATTAACTAAAAAATTTTAACTTGTTCGGTAACCAAACAGTAATGATCTTTTCAATTTTATTTGATTTGATGATGATTCAGCTAGTAAAACTGTAAAAGAAGTTTCGGTGAGGTTGACGAAATTTTTTGCTGCAGAAAGGTACTTCAACTTTACCTTGTTAATTGCTATTTGCATTTTTTCTTTTTCACATCGCAATTGAAGTAGTTCAAGACACCAATCAAGTAGCCTACTCCTCCTCCGTTGAATTTTTCCTTATTTGCCATTAATTTGGTATCACGCTATGATTTTTTTTTTTTAAAAAAAAAATTTATGGAGATTCTAGATTATGTTGAAAATTTTTGCTAATTTTTCAGTTTGTTTGGAACAAAATAAAGGGCTCTTAAAAACAGGAAATGCAATTGAAGTGCCAATATGGTTTGTACTAGATTGCTTGAGCTGCTTCATGCTTTGTGCCAAAAATGAAGCAGCATAAAGTTCTAATATAATTTAATGAGAAGCACAGTTAATCAATTCTTAGCTATGTATATGTCAAGTTTAATTCTAGGTCTGAAATGGGGAAAAGTACCATATATGTTTGAGTATATATATATATATATATATATAGCTCAACATTAACCATAGAAGTTTAATTAAACAAAAGGGGGGGGGGGGGGATAAATAGCATGGCGAAATATAATTCAGCAGCATTAAACAGCATAGTGTTATTCATTTTGACTTAACATGTGGTTCCTGTTAGATACCATCAATTCCATTGCACAAATGGAGAAATTCTAGTGTCTCACTGAACGCGGAAAAGCTGGAAAAAGTATTTTATTTATAGTTATTCTGATCTTTTTAATGGAGGCTCTATGTGATTATTATTGTAGGAATGATGTTTCCCCTTGTTGCAGATTAGCCATTAGGTTTGGTTTTGAATGTACATTTCAATACCAAGAAAAATACAATCTGATGGAGCTAAGGGGCCATTGCCATCTGCACTATATCCAGGCTATTAGAGGTGGCTTGCTGAAGAAAGTCCTGAATGTGAGCTCTTGTGGACAACCTGCACTAAAATTTAAGGCGATCAAGGACATATATGATGCAGAAGATGCCAAAAATCATGACCATGTTCCAAAAATCCATCTATGGGATGATATGGAAAGCTCACCATCCAAACTCAAAGGTTTCAAGGTAGAAAGCAGTTACTCACCTTTGGAGGAAAGTGTGGTCAAACTCAAACATGAGGCTTCTGAATTGAACTACAACAATGGAGCTGGGGAAAGAAATGATGATCTTGATGATCTCAGCATTGGCAACATGACATTGACACAAATTAAGGAAAGATGCAGAACAAAGAAAAGAAAGTTTTCTAAACAAGTTGGTTTAGGTAAGGAACCTGTCGGTACTCTCTTCAGTCTAAAACGGGATGATTCCAACTTTGAACAATATCACTGTGATCTGGAGGAGCCTCTCATTAATTGGAAACACAAGCTCTCCAAGAATATGAAGAGCAAGAAAAAATGCTCAAGAAAGCATGTCTCAACTTCATCTTGCAATGCGATTTCTGTAGCTAAATTGGAGCAGGGAACAGGTGATCAAGGTTTCCTACATTCCGAGGAAGACTGGCCTGCACCTCTTAATGTTAAAGTTGCGGTTTCTGATCTGGAGTTCTCAGATTGCCAAGCCGTGATCTGTCTTAAGGCTGTTACTAATTTTGGTTGTAGTGATCAGGTGGACTCTGTTGGAGTTGCAATCAATGAGACAACTGATGCAGGTATTTTGAATGAAGGGGCCCTAGTCTGTCTGCCGGAGGAACATTTTTGTGGTGCTGCTGATGAAGTTCCGTATGAATTTATTCAATGTGCCAAGCCTGAATTTAACGTAGGGGTTTCTGGTTGGGAGATTGCAAAGGTTGACAGTCCTGAAATACTTGATTACAAGCTTTCTGACATATCAGAATTTAACAATATCAGTTATATAACTTCCTCTCTTCCTTATGATTTCTCTTCAGAATCACATTCTCCAACAGAGGATCATAATTCTAATCTGAATGATGGCCTCAAAAGTAATTCTTCCAAACACATGTTTTGGCTAACTAGCAGCCATAGCCGGATTGAATGCCGTTCAGAGACTGCAGCATCCATGTTAGAGTATCCTACAAGAGAATCTCATTGCACTACTGTTAGTGAGGCATCTTACGAAGATGCGGAAGATGTTCATTCTAAATTCAATGTTGGTTTTTCTGGTTGTCAGATTGTGAAGGTAGATAGTCCAGAAATAAACAACTACTGCTCTAACTCATCAGAATCTAAGAAAGGAGGTTACAGCATTTACCCAACACCCCCAGCTATCCCTTCAGAATCATTGTCTCCAACCAATAATCATGGTTCTGAAATGCATGATGGCTTGGACAAAAGTTCAGCTGAGCATGATATATCATGGGTGACTAGATGTCAAAGCCAGATTCAACTGCCTGACATGGCCGCTGACATTAACCTTCAGTGTTCGAAAGAATTGGATTGGGTTAATCATTGCCTATTTGAGGAAATCAGTAAAGATGATTGTCCTTCCAAGCTTGAAAACAGTGTCATCAACTCGTCAAGGGACTATCTATTGTCTCAAAATCTGAATTCATATGCAAGTCCTGGTGAACATTCGGTCTCTGCTTATTTTGAAGGTGCTGCTTCCTTTGATTCATTTTCAGCAGAGAAGCCATCTCCATTGTCCACACTTGCTGAAGCTGTCGAAGGCCACCCCGTAACTCGTGGCACTCTTCATGAGTTTATGGCATCACCACAGCTTGGACACTATCCTGACTCCAAGCTGCATCCTCCTCCTCAAAGGCTTATCTCAGCCAGAAAGGTGAAGAAAATGTGATGGACATTTTTGTGACTTCTTATCTGTTGAAGTTGTTTCTCATTATTTTTGTTATTTTTCAGACTATTTCTCCAACTTCTCAAGAAAGGCTTTGTCGAGCTGTGGAGTCCACTGTGTCAGTGGATAATGAACATCGTGGTAAGAATACAGTATTTGTGACTGCTTGATACTGACTCCTGTTGAATCATCTAAAATCCTACTTTTCAAATATGTGATTTGGGCAGCATGTGGGCATGGTGATGGTGATTGTAATGCTACTAACATTCAGTTACACCCAACTTGTTTACAGCAAACAACAAATCTTAATGTTCAAATAATTGGCTTGTGTAGCATCATGCTTTGATACAGATATGAGCATCGAAATCTAAATGCTTCTGATGTTAGATTTTCATGGCTACTCCAGTCTATATGCTTATTTGATTGATTAATTGAGATTAGCTGTCTTCATGGAATTATCAAGGTATCTGATACTAATGAGCTATTGTTCTGGCATTAGAAAGTTGGTGGTTTAGACACCCCTTGTCTTGCATTTTTTTTAACCTTCATATGCTGTGAAATCAAATAATCACTTACAAATTCAAATTATCATACCATTCCATTCTTATTTTTTCGTTTTCTTCCTACAAAATTACAACTTCACACTCCATTTTTAATATTTATTTGGTGTAAAAATTCCAGAATGCAGGGGGAAGCTGTACTTTGCAAAGCAAACCAGTCATAGGATTTTAAGAGCAGAAGGGCTTGAGCAGTTTAGTAGAGCTGTAGCCACTTCAATCATGAGCAAACCAAAACATGGCAAGGGCATTCTCAAAGTTCCTCATCTTCCCTGTTCAGTTCCACAACCCACAAGCTGCATGTCCACCCAAAGTTGTTCAGAAAATGCAATTGCATTCTCACAGCGTCAAATGCATGATATTGAATCTCTTGCGACTAAACTCACAAAGGAATTGAAATCCATGAAAGACATAATGAAGGTAAGGTTGCAGTTGGAAGACACTACAGCTCCCGCATTGAAGCAAAATACTGATGAGGTATGTCACTACACAGCTTTACTGGGCTAATAGTAAAGTAATTTTAAACATGTTGGTTTGCATAAAGTTATGTAGCTAAATATTCGAAATGTCTCTCTAAATACATCTTAACGTCATTGGTAGATGAAAATAGCCATTGACAATGCAGAAAGAGCTGAAGAAACCACAATAAGATGGCTCTCTATGATGGCAAGGGATTGCAGCCGCTTTTGTAAAATCATGGTTCGGTTCTTTCTTTATTTCTTTCTTTCTTCTTCTTCTTCTTCCTTTTTTGATGAAATGGTTCGTTTGTTGTTTCAAAAGCAAGAGATGGTTTAGGACAAAAAAGGGGACAGATAGGAATATAAAGAGTTTGGTTTGTAAGTTTTGCTGATTATCCTCATATCTCATTGTTCAAATGCAGAAATCACCTAAAGACCGTTCTTCCCCCTCAGAAAATTTAATCCACAAGAAGAGGAAAATTACTTTTGCTGATGAGGCTGGAGGAAAGCTTTGTCATGTGAAGGTTTTTAACGATGACATGGCTTCTACTTTGGCCTTTGGCAGTGAAAACCAGAGTTTGCCGGTTGAGTAATGCTACAGCATGCATTCATTGTACATTTACATGTATTGTGCTCCATAAATGTTTAATCACTGTTCTGACATAGAAGATGGTTAATTAGCCAAGCATAGCAAGGTTACACAGCTGATCATACTGATTCATGCAAGATTGATGCTTATCTGAGGTCCAGACAGAACAGCCTGCTACGGCCTGACTAGCCTGAAATGAATCATAATTGAGGCACAGCTACTCAAATCCAAGAAACTCACAACCGTTAAACAAGAGGTGAGGAAAGCTGCTGAACGAAACTTTGTATACGATTTAACCATCATCTTTCGCGCTTGTAGCAACTGTTTATCTCTGGCACTTCAATTGATGTTTTTTCTTTTGATGTCCTAGCCTAACATTCCCGTTTTTGCCATAATGTTATTTCTGTTGTGTGTGTGTATATATATTTTGTATGAGTTATACAACAAGATAATTTTTCCCTTTTTGATTTCTTTCTTACATTTTAAACTTGAGATTTTCATTTTTGAGTCTAATTTTCTTGAGCTTGAAAGAAATGAAACACCAAAATTTCTGATTTCTGAGAGCAATTTCCAAACTGCTTAATTTTTTTCCGATGAGGTATTATTTTTTCACAAAAATTTTTTCAATTTAGACTATAAAACATTAACCATTAAATAATGAAAGGCAGCAATAATAATGTGTACTCTTTTATCTAATGACAAATTTAATCCGAATGGCAAAATACTTTGTTATTATTATTTATCAAGAAAGTACATATATTACAATATGGAGTTATAGCAAACTAGCTTAATCATGTATAATATTACTGTTCGGTTTTTACATGACAAATCAAATTAGAATTGCTAACGTAAAAAATTAATAAATCACATCCTTCAAATCCTCGTTTTCTCTTACTGTTCATTGGCATGAGTTGCAGAACAAGAGTTCCCAAATTCCCGTGAACGCCTCCACGATAACTCCATGATGCTGCCGTGAATTCAAGGAAAGAAAACACTGCAACAGTTCCTCCAAATCCTTTGCCTCAAACATCTGCTTCTCCAATATCATCTCCAACATTGATCTCTTAAAATCCTCGTACGGATCATCCGATTTCTTCACCACCGCCACACTCTCCCTAACCTTCCCCTCCACCGTGTTCGGTATTACCGGAGACTGATCCGCCTTCTTTCTGTACTTCTTGGAGGCGTGGGATCTCAGCTTTATCTTCTTTACGTTGTTTACTCTCTTCTTGTTTGGATTATGGAACTCAAATAATGAATCGTCGGAGAAGGAAATTAGGTTTTCGGTTTCTTCTTCATTTCCCTCTCCTTCGCTGCTGCACCTCCCGCTCTCACTGGACGAAATGCTTGGTTTAACTTTCATCATTATTTTCTTTTCCTTCTGTCTCTTCTCATATTTTCCGACTCGAACCGGCGATATGTCCCCGTTATTCTCCTTCTTAAACGACGTAGCATTAGAGATATTGCCCTGAATATTCCTCGGATCGTGCGCTCTGTCCACCATGTGCAACCGAGCTGCTCCTTCCTCGGTGCCGTACTCCGACGAAAGATACCATTTGGATGATTTCGCTCGGCATCCGCAGTTAACCGACGCCACCTTCGGCGACAAGCAACTTTTTTCAAAACTGTAGTTCGGAGTTGACGGTGGCGAAGAAGGGAGGTTGGGGAAGCTGATGTCAAGCGCTTTAGGATTCACCGGCGACATCCTGTAGCTCACCGGACGCGGCGTTTCCACCAAATTCATACGGTCCTTGGATCGACAGAGTTGGAAAGAATGGATAACACGAGAAAGCTTGAGCTTGACACTAAGCTTAGCCATCATCTCTACCGTGAATTACCTGAGTACAAAGAGAATAAAATATATAACATAAGAAAATTGATTGACACGGCTTTCCATTCAACATATCTATTAATATCCACATGTTTCGTTATTAAAATTTGTTTTTAAAAATTATTTTATATTAAATTTAAATTTAAAATTTTATTATATTAAATTTAAATTTAAAAATATTAATTTTTTAATAAATTAATCGATAAATGTTATTAGGTGAATTAAATCAAAACATGTATTAATCATTGTCTACAATATAAACAGAAGCCGGCCATGGAAATTAAACTCAGGGATGATTTTACATGACCAAATCCAGGAGTAATACCAACTTATTGTTCCAAAACTGGCTGTGAATTAGGTGAAGGGTCAATTTAAAATACTAAATTCTATTGTTTTTGTAAAAACTACGTTGCGTTTGCTGTTATTGTCAATTTCTATTTAATTGTTTTAAATGTGGATTTTGGATACATCATCATTAAAATTTTGTGGTGAATTTGAAAGGGTGTTAATGAGTAGCCAAACAACGGTTTTTGGTAATGTGTTACATTCTGCAACGTGGATTCACCTAATTTGATTGAATTTTTTATATTAATGGTGAGTCTTTAAAAACAATCGAACTTCGCTTTTAATTGATGAGATGAACTAATCTGGGCAATTGGATCATAAATATTGTATGATGTGTAGCCTGAAAAACCGTAACCACACAAAACTCAATCCTTTCCTTTGCTCTAGGGGGGGGGGACAATAGGTATCATTCTTCAAACAAAAAAGTGTTTGCCAAACAAAAAAGTGTTTGCAGTGCACATATGCAAATTATACATTTTATAATTATTAATAAAAAATAAATCTTGTCCAACACTAAATGACATAATGGTTATTTTTCTTTGAAAGTATGTCAAGACAATAATATTTTAAATTTTATATCTAAGTTTTCTTTACCTCTAAAATTCCCTTTGTTCAAAAAGAAATAAACAAAATAAAAATAAAATTTTAAATATTAAAATGATTTATTACTATTAATAATTATAAAATATATAATTTATATAGAATAGGCTATAAAATAATAACCTCTACTTTAAATAAGAGTTAACACGACCCGTGAAGCTTTTACTCTCGACGCGCAAGAGCTTATTAATACTATGTATAATATACAAGCTGAAACCTAGAAGCAAAAGGTATCAATAATGTATGTATGTGTCTAATGGCTGAGTCCAGACTTATATCTACAGGGAATTGGGAACCTGGTGTATCCAACCATGCAAATTGAAGGCTTCTGCAGAAGCCACCACCAAGCCACAAGAATCTCAAAAACGAGTGTCTTCTTCAAGCTTAAAACAAATAAAAAATAAAACAACATTTGCTTTTAATTTTTATTTTAGCGTAAACTATTTAAATAATTTAATGATCATTTTTTTTTTGTTAAAAATAAAAGATTATAAATTTGACTCGTATGAGATATAAATAGAATGAAATAAAAAATAAAATATAATTATTTTTCATTATGAAATCAAAATTTAAAAAAAAAATTCATTTTAGCTTTCGGGTGGAAAAGATTGTTCCTTTGCAAGAGAAAGCTATGATACGTGGATAAAAGGATACACACATAAATCCAAATTGACCTTTCGACTCAGGGCAACCGACACATCGTTTTGTCTGTTTCAACAATTGATCAATATGATTAAGAAGCAGGCAGTCAAGCCCAAGTCCAACCCACATCCTAGCCCACCACGAAAGGGTGGACAAACCTAATTGTCCATAAATCTTTGTACCTCCGTCTAAGTCCAGTAAAAACCTCCCTGACGGCCCAAAAGAAAAAACCGCACCCGCCCTTTCCAAAATAAAAGGCGCCGCTTAGCGCTTATACAAAACCCTAATTCGTGTAATCCCCTATTTAAGCCACCGAGACGCACCTCCGCGTAACCTTCATCTCTGCAAATCTCCGTTTGTATCTCTTCAATTCTAAACTCTAAGAGTTCTTCTGTTTTTCGAAACGGAGCAGAATCAGGTTAGATCGGATGGAGTTAGTTGTTTTTATTTTTTTTTATTTTTTTGGTGTTTGGATGAATTTTGTTTGCATCTATTTACCCTCTCCTGATGTGCAAAATTAAGTCTGGATGCCGGAGGAGATATAATGGATGCATACAGTGAAAGGTTGGCTTACCAGCTCATTGCAATTTGTTTCTTGCCTTGGTGTCAAATGGACCTTCCGATACTCCCGTTTTGCCTTTCTTCTTTCCTTCTTTCGTTTTATGGATTAAACTCTGATGGCAAGTGATGAATAGTTATCTTATCCTACACTCTGAAGATCCGTGTAGTCATACAACTTCGCTTATTGATATTCTGATGCCCTATTTTTTTCTTTTTTTAATTTATTTGTTTGGAAGTGAAGGCAAATGATGTGAATTTTTTTTTTTAATAACTGAAACCTAAATGTTGACACAACTCCGCTTATTATCTGATGCCTTTACTCTCTAAAGTAAAATCAGATTTTTTTTTTCTTTTGGAATTTTTTTTTTAAAATTAGTGAAGTGATTTCAATGATGAGAAAGAAGCAGACGGGCGGACTGAATCTGATGCCTTGTTGATTGTCTGCCGTTTCCAATTTGGAACTTCTCTGAGTCTCAGATCCAAGTTATTAACATTGTTTTTTTTTTTTTTTTTTCGTCTTTTTTGATTTTAAGGTAAGATATCTCTGCACTGATGATGTTGCTCAATTATGTCTGGACATATGAATTTGTTTGTGATTTGATATGCAACTTCTGAGCAGAGTGAGAATTACTCTTTGATGGATAAACCATTACTATGCTCTGAATTCTGAATTTTTAGTGGGCAAAATTCTTATTGATGTTGTAATTATCTACCCCTTTTGTACTTGTAATTTCCCATTTTGCTGCTATGTATCTATATATATATCAGTTACTATAATGAGAAGAAAGCTAGGGTGTTGTTTAATCATTCTGTTACACGTTACATAACCCTATACTTAAAACTTATACGCCTCCTTTTGAGGCCTGGAGAAATCGTGGGTTTAATTAAAAGATCATCTTGTCCAACTTAATTTCAGGTTTGGAGTACTCGAATAATAAGATAAACAATATTCAATGATTTATCCAATTGGCCAAAGCTCTTGTTTGCATTTTCTATTTATTTTTTTTTCCTAGTCAACACTTTTCAGAATTTTTTCTCTTTATTCGCACCATCAACTTTTCAAAACCCGTGAAAAACTCAATATTTTAACGGGTCATCACGGTACCATTAATAACCGTTAGAAATTATAATATGTGGCATCAAACAATAACATAATCCAATGTGGATTTTTTTTTTTTATGATATGGCATAATTAAACCATAATTAATTTTAATTTTTTTCATTTTTTTCTTTCTTGCATCATCTTTACCATCTTCCTCTTCATCCTCTTGGGTTCCTCATGGAACCAGGAACTTTATGTCACATTTATTAATCCAATGTTGGATTTTTTTTTATAATGTGTTATAATTAAATCATCATTAATTTTAATTTTTTCATTTTTTTCTTTTTCAGCATCATCTTCACCATCCTCATCCTCGTCCTCGTGAAACCCAAGTTCTGAGTTTTTCGTGGAACTTAATTTCACATGAATGCCTACTAAGCTAAGATTTTCATCCACACAATTATAAGTAAATGAATACTGCACAAAAACATGACAAGTATTTTCTACTCCTTTCCCACAAAAAACGAAAAAAACTCAAATTGGCAACCTATTCAGAAACAATCTCCAAGCAAAAAAACTCACATTTCCAACAAAAAATTTATTCCAAATTGCTTTGCATAAAATCGGAAGCTAAGATAATTCAAAATAAAAAAATCAAAAAGAAAAATTGTTGGAACCCAGTTTCTGGGCTCCTACGCGAGGAACCCAGAAACTGGGTTGCTGGCGCAGGAACCCAGATTTGGGTTCTTGCGTGGGAACCCAGTTTTTGGGTTCCTGCGCAAGAACCCGTTTTTGGGTTCCCGTTTAAGAACCCAAATCTGGGTTCTTGCGCCAGCAACCCAGTTTCTGGGTTCCTCGCGCAGGAGCCTAGAACTGGGTTCCTCGCGCAGGAGCCCAGAACTGGGTTCCCCGTGAGGAACCCACTGAGAAGAAGATGGTGAAGATGATGCCGAGGATGAGGGGGGAAAGAAAAAAATGAAAAAATGCAATTTAACTGTTTGATAATATTATAATTTTTTATTATTTTTATTGTATACGTGGCGTCTATGTCTGTAAAAAAAGAAACCACGTCATAAAAAAAAAGATCCACGTTGGATTACTAACGTTACATAGTGCCACGTCAATTTTTGGGTGCTACGTAATATATTTTTTAACGGTACCGTGACAATCCGTTAAAATATTGAGTTTTTCACGGGTTTTGAAAAGTAAAGGATGCAAATAGGAAAGAAAGATTCTGGAATGTGTTGACCACAAAAAAAAAAATAAATGGAGGGTGCAAATAGGACTTTGACCTATCCAATTTCATTCATAGATTTTGTCCTTTTTATGTTATGTACGGACTGTATTACAGGATTGTTTATATATATAATAAAAAATAATTATTTTTTATTATTTATTTTATTTTATTTATATTATATTATTTAAATTTAAATTTTTTTATTTTTATAAAAAAATAATTATTAAATTATTTAAATTATTGACGTTTTTTTTTTTTATTGGGTAGAACTATAATATAATCTTAATGGCGGAAGAGATGCAGTGGGTGAAACTGGTAGTGACGTGGGGGGTTTTGTTTCTCAAGATTGATTCATGGTAATTCATGGTGCGTCTAACAATAATCTTAAAGACGGGTGTAAAATGACCTCAATTATGATGACTGACCTCCTACTGAAATTTCCCATAATGTGATGTGATTGCGAAGTTGGCTGATGTTTTTTTTTTTTTAATTTTGTCATAACGGACAATATTACATGCATGTCTAAAGGGTTATGAATATAATATTATATATATTTTTAACAAACTATAATACTCCCTCATAAGACAGGTTTATATATTTAAAAAA